TGTTTACAGTTAGGTATGTTTATGTTTTTAATTTCATAAATAATTTATGATATTTTGGGAATTGTTGATAATTTATTTTTCTCTATTGTTTAGGTGAAGTGGTAACAATTATGACTATGGTAGATGTACACATATAGGCCTAAATACTATAGAATACTGTAAATTTAAAAAAGCAAATCTTATCAAACTGTGTTCTCCCTTATTGCAAACGCAAAGCTTGAGTATAACTGCAATAAGCATTTTATACTTATATTCAACCCCGTACGAAGGACGGATACTCTGCTAGTATTTTTATAATTATTTGTTTCCAAGAGTAATAAAAATGTATTTTATAATTATTGAAAGAAAACATTATCTTTAAGCATTTTTATGTATTTTAACTATAAGTTTCAATAATTCAGATCAAAAAAGAGAACCTAATGTAGTGAAAGAATTCAAGCCAGTTAGAAAGACCATTGTTGGGAAGTGAGTGCCAACGCTGAAAGAATGTTGGCATCAGCGCTCTTGGAAGTGGAACGGTCAGTTCGGGCTGAGGAGTCAGAACAGATACATTATTGTAAGTATGGTGGTATGCTAACTAATATTCAAATATGTAACTTTTTAAATTTTCCTTTTTTTATAAATTTCGGCCCTTGCGTCAAAGTTACTCTTATTTATTTTGTTGTGATTGCCCATCAAATAATATACCAATTGATTATTTTGTTTCCAAATAAACTAAGTGATTAAGTTTAACATGCGATCCTTTATTAATTCATTCCCATTAATTCATATCAGGTGGTGCCAGCGGTTTAGCTACTAGTTAAAAGACCATTAGCTCAGTAGGTCGTACCTAAATACAATTACATAACAATTATTACCTAAATGAGACTTAGCACCTACGTACAACACAAAATATATTATGTACAGAACCCTACTAATGCACCATAAATTTTTCTGTGTATTAGTGTACCAAAATAATTATTCTAGGTGGCAATTATAAAACGTAAATTCCAACTCAGCTTTTACGCAATAAAAAAACGCATTTACTATTTTGTGATAGTCTCTAAGACAAAATATGAAAACCGATGATATTAATAATGAATCTTCTAAAAATAATGATGAAAATGGTGGTCAAGTACATTAGTACGTACCGCTTGATTTTTACCAGCAAACTTTGAATATCAATTTTAAAACAACTAATTAACCTACCTATTGTTGAGATTGAACATTAATAAAGTTTTCTTCATGATATTTTTTTTCACTACACCACTGTAGGTATATGTGTAGTAAGTGGTATTACACTAATTAATTATCAATTGGCTCAAAATAATTGTCACGACATTGTTATTTCGCATGGTAGGTACTTAAATTAGTAAAGGTTATATTGAAAACAATTTAGCCTTCTACTTAACTCACCTGCAAATGCAGAGAAGTAAAGGTTCCCTTTAGGTCCAGGCAATGAGATCTTCATGGTAACAGTTCAGTTGAGACTGGGGCTTTGTAGAGTTGTTAGTCCACTTGACAGATAGGCCTAATGCTGTTTACTGTTAGCACTTTAAGTAGCCAATGTGGTGGTTTCAAAGTAAAAACAGCTTACGAACTTATCATAATTTTAAAATTTGCTCCATTAATTAATTTTCAAACATGAATTTTAGTTTTAGGGCATTAGTATTGCTCTAGATATTTCTTACTTGTTTGAAGTATAATTTTTACTCAAAACTTGTATTAAAACCCGCATTTGAGTCCTAAATAAAACAATGATTACCACATTATGTCTTTTTGTGACCACTGATTTTCACATTGTATTAAATGGTAACTGTATTAAAAATATATAGTTTCTAGGTCAAGAATAAGTGTAAGTAATCCACAATACAACCTGACTTTGAATCTGTCTTCTACAAGTTATGTGATAACTGTAGTGAAAGTTTGTCAGAGCCGGTCTGACTGCCAGTCAACACAACACTGACACTGCCACAGGATGTGTAGGTCTAGCCACATTATTGTGTGCAAATCATCATTCTCACCACACACATCCAACTGACCGATAGAGATGAAATCTAAAGTTATGAATAGTGCATTGAGCACGTGACTACGCATACAAATTGAAAGACAGCTTTAAGCATCCTCGCTCAATGACATCTTTGTGTACAGTTTGATAACGTGTGAATGGTTATGATCTGTTTACAGTTTAACTGATTTGTTTGTAGCACATATGAATATTTTAAATGTTTTGTTAGATATTTTGTTATGTATTTAATTTTTTATTTTGAAGCATGGACAAATGGGTTTTAGTCTGTTTAGCCAAGTTCGGTTCTGGTAGTTGACCACAATTTTTTTACACAAACAGATAAAAAGCTATTTCATCACTTGTAAACGAAAATGGCTGATGTCAGCTGAGCTTTACAAAAACCAACTTTTTCCATTCTATCAAATTTGATTTTGCCTGTCTCAAAAAAACGTTGGCCGTTGGCCTGTCACAAACAAATTAGGTTTTTACTCGTCACAACAGGAGTGCTAGTGTATGTATTCTTTTATTACAGAACTGAAAATATCTGACAGCTGACACTTAAAGAATTTGTATAACTATGATATGAAACCAGTAGACAATGAATTTATGTTTCATTGGTGAATTAATTAAACAGAGAAGCTTTGTGTAATCATTTGCATTGTGATAAAAAAAAAGTTTTATTCACCACTTGTTACAAAAGATCCATTTTGGGCTCGATAGTTGTTTCCGCACTCGGCTTCGCTACGCTCATAAACCACTATCTTTCCCTGAAATGTGCGGTTTTTGGTACCTACTACTAGTAGTGAAATATACCAATAAACCATGTAGAAATCAGAAAAACTAATTCAGCAAAACTCTAAAACCAAACACATGCAACTATACCAAACTTTAAAAACCAATCAAATATTAGGTTAAAAAAGTTAACACTCATTCAATTTAAATCACATATATTTAATTGAAAACCAATATGAAAACATCAATGATATAAAAATACAACTACAGTATTTATAAAACCAAAAGCTAACCCAATAAAATGATGATTTCAAACAGAAATTTAACTAAAAACCTGTAAAACCATGTTAGTTAATTATTAAACCACAATAAATAAAATGATACTTATGTTGTATGTTCGGTGGAAAAATGGAAGTCTTCTGAAATAATGTAGGCCTAAAGGATATTTACAAACAGAACTTAAAACTTATATTTATTTACACACGCCCCTCAAATCAACATTTCAAATTTCAAGTTCTGGAAATGATTTGCAGTAATAATAACATTTATAACCAAACTTCAGCTTTTCTTTGTCAACTTGTATAACTTAATTGTTGTTTGTTAATATACAAAAATGTGGTATAGTTATTTGTGCAACTAGTGAGAAAAGTGAGCAAATGACTCACTAGAGAGACATCCTTACTCACGAGCCGTAGGCGAGTGAGGCAATTGTACTTTGAACTCGAGTTGCACATTATACTTTTCCTACAGTTACCACAAAACAAATAAATTGGTGAAGAAACATAACCTATTGTTACACAGAAGTGAGCTTTTAATATAACATTTAATGTGAAGTGACAAATACAACAGTACAACAGCTGACCAGCTGATTTACAGCCAGTGCTGCCAACGTATTTCGCGCGCATACGACGTTGCCTGCATGTTACGCGCCCACTATTTCGTGCCTTCACGTTGCAAATCTGGAGTGAGACAAAGTAATTAGAGTGAGACAATGTTAACATTGTCTCACTGATGAGCGAATTGGCCACTTTGCTTTCTCAAATCAGTGAGAGAACATGTACATTGTTAGGTAACTGTAGGAAATAGAATTTTAATGAGTGTTTCAGTTGTAGTTGTAACCAAAGAGTTGACAGATAGTGATGGCAGAAGGTCTTTCTTTAGTTATTTTGTTAAATTAATGTTAACAATTTCAATCTCAATCAAAAAGGATAATCATACTCAGGGCCAAGAGAATCAAACATTTGCCTGTGTTTCATCAAGGCAGTATAAAAATATGAAATATAGAACAAAATGTTGAAAACAAACACAAAAAACTGTTGGGTTATTTCCATTCCGATACAGGAGTCTTTCAATTTCATCTTGATAAGAGATATCATAGACAAAAGATTAAATATAGACTGTAGCTGTGCTGCGGTTACCATAGGTTCTGGCGCACACCGTTGGGAGTGCCGTATGTTATGCAGCGCATACCCCGTAACTGCTTTTTTTGCCTAACTAGGCTACTAAGTTTTTCCATGTTTAAAATTTGTTGAAAGGAAACTGTCATGCAAGTAATAATTCAATTTAATTAATATTTTAAAGTTGCATAGCTCATTTTATGTTTTTGATTCAACATGAATCTTGGGCTAAATTTTAGCTTGGTGATTCGTCATGGCAGTAATCGTTACACCCTAAAATCATTAGGGTTGAGTGATTCTGGCACAAACAGTTTTAGGACTGATTCAAGTATATTCTACAATGATTTACAAAATCATACTAGGATTTGATCAGTTTTGTTTAACTGGGATACTCTCTATCCAAGATTGCACAGACATCCTTTGCTATATTTCTCTGATCCCTAGATCATGAATAAGATTACATTGCTTGTTTTTGAGCTTGAATTATTTCCTGGAAAATTTTAGTGATTTCTCTTTGATGATAAAAATGCCAAGATTTGGATAAAAATGATATACTACCTGTATCAATAAATACATAAAAGATTTGTGAACTTTAGAATGACTGAGCTAGCTCTATTATTCTAAAATCCACAATTACATTTTAGTTTGTCAACCAAAATTGTAACTTGTTACAGATAAATACTTATCATAAATAAAAAAAAAATAATTTCACCACTGTATTATTTGATCAAACCCATTTTCAAATGCTTTATTTACCCTTTCAGCATTTGAACACAGAGCACTCCAGCGAACCCACCTGCCATAGTAAGTCATTTTTCAACGGTAAAGGAGAACTTGATACATTAAATACCTTTTCAAAAAAAAGGCACTAAAAGAACTAAAAATTCGAGGTAACATAAAATATTTAATTTAACCTAAAAACACTACAAAATAATATCTTAATTCTTGCATTAAGAACATCTACACTTTATCACCACACAAAACAAAATCCTTCCTTGGTTTTAAACTCTTAGCACACAACTGGTAAAGTTTAATGGCAATTAATGCCAATTTGCCAACTAATAGGCCTTATAAACTACATAGTCATAAGCACAGCCTAAAACTCCCATAACACTACAAGTCCTTCACTAACTCAATTATAATGTGTCTTTATAGTAAATAAAAGACATCATGTCCTTCATGCGAATACAACAGGATAGGAATTGAAAATAATAATTTGAAAATGATAAAACACAAAAACACAGGTACTTAATTTATCTATGATAAAAATAAACCAAAGTAAAATATCATTGTAAATCTAGGGTAAAACCGGATTTTTTATAAAATGATACATTACCTATCGATAGTAAATAAAAAACTAAAAATAATATTCAGAATGGCACGTTAAATGAAAATTTACAAATGAAAAATCTTTTGCTCCATCCTTACCATATGATATTAGAACAAAAAAGTGAAATGTGTGCCTAAATATAATAATTGAGTACAGCTATGAAACCCGATGCTCAAAAATTAAACTGAATATAATACTTAAAATGATTCCCTGAATGATCAATATATATTTACAAAAAAGTCCAGTAATCTACACCGTACACTCTAAAGATAAAAACCTAAACAATTTAACAATGATGACGCATTGATAACAACTATAATACAGTTTTAGTAAAAAATAAATAACACCACCTCCTTGACTAAAATTGTCTACTAAATTACAATGACTAAGGGTTGCGGCTGGTAGCCAGGGTCAAACGCACGAACGCTTGCGCAGCTTTGCCTTGACTTCATTCAGCAGTAGATCGAAGGAATCATTAGAACGTGGCTGCATGGCAGGAGGAGGACCATAACGGCATTGCATGTTAGTCGCCATTCCATCTGTGCAAACAATACTGGTCAGAAAAACTACACAAATCATTACTTTATTAAGTTTACTAATGGCTCTAATATCATTGTTATCACATAAGCAATTTGTATGGATTAATATCTGATCAAGGTCAAACTTGTATATGACTGTGCAGAAATTCTAAACGGACCAACAGTCAAAACAATAACAGAGATAATGACTAGGCCTAATGTTAGGGTAAGTAAAATACAACCCATAGGTGAAAGCCTAAGAAGCCTACATACAATCACAACATTGTTTCTTACTTAAGGGGAGCAGTGTGCGAAAATGCCCAAAAAATAAATTTTTCCTACAGTCACCCGACAAAGTTGGCTTCCTTGTACTGTTTATAGTACAGAAAGCTGCTAATTGCTGCATATTTATACTTTGCCGTACGGTTTATACTTTGCCGCACATCAGGATTCCAACGAAACAACACAAAACAGCGTGGTTCTATTATGCACGTAATCCGTGTACGCTTGGAAATAGGTTGGCAACACTTAAAGATAATAATACTATGAGCAGCTGATTGACTATTATAACTACGATTTAACCTGTCATTTCGTGTTTGTAGTTTCGGTATTTCTGAACTTACTGGACTTTTCTTTTAAACGTTTTTAAAACATTCCTACGATCTTAATAAACAAGAAAATACCTTTAAAGCATTTTTTTAGGCACGGAAACCACTTCAAATTACAAAAACATACGGAACTATATTCTCAAAACGCGGAGCACATTTCTTGCCGAGGAAAAATAGCGGAGTGATACGGACCGCGGGTACTACTTTCTCTAGGGCACCATTTGTGTTGCCAGCTGAACCTAAAAACGTGTTGTATAGTGTTTGAAAGACTAATTATTTATATACTTTAAAGTGACTGTAGGAAAAATATAATGTGTAACACGAGTGAAAAAGGCCTTTGCTGCACTCGAGATCATTCCGCACTCGCCTGCGGCTCGTGCGTAAACATTGCTCTCGTGTGCAGCAAAGTGCCACTTTCACCACTAGTTACACAAATAACTATTTAATAAATGATGACAAAATATTGTGTATTTTGTGCTGTTTAAGAAAATAGCCTATATAACACTTAATACTTTGGATACTTTTTATATAAGAAGGAATCATTAATTCTGCATTAAGATACATAAAGGAAACTACCCATTTTTCCGGTTTTTCCTGATTTACTAAGCTTGCAATAGTCTAATCTTAAATCAAACTGCATATTTGCATTTAGGAAAAAAAACTGAACAATTTGAGTACAATTAGTCTAATATAGTATATAAAAACAATTTTCCCGGATTTTTGAAAGAGGGCCCTCTGGATTCTACTGAGCCTGCCCTTCAAGGGTTCAAATGTGAATATCCGAAAGTTAGTTTTTATAAATTTAGGTACCATTCTAAAGAAAACTACTTAACTCATCAAGCCCAAATTTGACACAATACTTCCTATTACCATGGTGAATAGTTTCATGCATTTTTAGAATGTTACCATTAATTTTACTTTAAAAATAAATTGTTTATTATAAAAAAAAACACAATAAAATATTAGTAATTTTTTTTATTTTTTATTTTAAAAACTAGACCTAATTTCTTGTTTATATAGCATGAAATCATAGAAAACAATCTAAGGAATGAATAAAAAAAATTTAAGTCAATATCTCTAACAGTTTTAAAAATAAATGTACCTATCTAATCACATGTTTTCCCATAAGAATAACATGGGAGTGGTATTCGCGCACTGCTCCCCTTAAACCATATGCTTGTGTAGCGGGGCAAAAAATACAAATATTTGTATCACATGCTCAGAATTACGTCCCTTGTTATAATCAATTTTGTTCATAATATGAAAGTATTCATCATAGCATGTATCAAATTAAATGATGAACTAGAGACTAACATTTAAATTATTATAAATCTTTTCACCATATCTTTATCTTCCTTCTATAGTTCGGCCGCTTAAAAAGCGACCTCCTCCAGCATTGGTTTAGCATTAGCGCGCATGTCGTTTTCTAAGCGGCCGAACTATAATAGCCATTAGAAACTTCAGAATTGAGTTTATTCCATTTTGTTAGTCAGGGTCTACATAAAAATTGTGTTACTGGCAAAAAACAAGTTTCATAAAATGATTTACAATTCCAAAAGGCAAAATGGTGTTTTGTTCAGGAAGGACTGTAACATTAATCTGCTTATGCACAGTGTAAATACAAGGTGGCTGGAAAATAAGTTGCCTGCATCCTCCTTTCAAACGTTTTAACATAGAAAATTAATATCTGCATATCGTAATTAGTAACCACAAATGTACTTTCCTATTATACTTGTATTACAATGATGACTATGGTTCCTAAAACTGGTTTGTTGCTTTTTGTAAGAATATTATTGGAAACGTCTTTGAGTAGCAACTAATTTAAAGGCTTTCAAAAGAGAAAATCAAATAACACAAATTTTACATGCTCAGAATTACGTCCCTTGTTATAATCATATTTTTTCATAATAAAATTAATGTTGTTCATCATAGCATGTATGAAGCTTTATGGAGGATGAATTAGACATTACCTAGATCAGCATATCGTTGTTTGCAGAATGCACGGCGGCCACCAAAACACAGGTCGTAGCGAGGCAGTTTAGGGTCGTCATTGCCATGCTCCACCGCCTTGTATGCATCTGCTTTGTACGCAAATGTTACAAAGCCATAGTTATCTCTGTAATTAAAATTAAATGTTTAAAACAAAGGACAGCAAGTGTAGATAATAAATGTAAACACGATTGTGGTAACTAACATATTTTTTGTAGTGTTGAACCAGTTGCAATTGTATATCAGTTGGGTTTCAGTTCAGTTTTTGTAATATCGGTTGTTATTTTAGGATTTAAATAGAAAAAAAATTAAATTAAACTTACTATCAGTTTATTTCTTTAGTATTGTTTTTGGTAAAGATGTTACAGGAATTGTTGCAGGTAAAGCTAGAGTTTTACTAATAACCAGTGGAAAATGTTTGCAGCCAAATTATTACATTACAATCAATAAACCAAAACTGACATTTTTCATCAAATTCTTGATTTAGATTTTTTTGCAAAAAAAAGCGATACATCCGAAAATAGACTGTAAAAACCTAACCGTACTTTTGAGCCATACTTCTAAATACAAATGAAATGGGGGAATTAAAAACACGACAGTGCCTAAAATGCTCTTGGATGAGATCACACTCGAAAATTTTTCTTGATTGGTAAACACTGGAAAGAAAAGAATAATAAATTAAATTCAACATATTTAATTCAACATATTTTATAACAGTAGGGCCTACCAATAAGAGAACCAACTTAAAAAATACTTGTTTGACAAAATTCAAACTGGGATTAGAAGAAACGGGTACCCGGCAGGCATTAAACTTACCCTCTCTCACGGAAATGAACACTGATGTCCACTATTGGCCCAAACTGTTGGAACCTCTTCCGGAGATCTGCCTTGGTAGTGCCCTCGTCAATGCGTCCCACATATATGACTCTTCTCTCCTCCACCTGCTTCGTCTTCTCCTGGGTGGGGAATTCCTGACTGCGAGAAGAGGTTGATCTCACAGGAGAATGGTTCCTGTAAATACATGTACTATCTGTGAAATGATCTTTCATTTGGTGGAAAAATGTCTACCACAGGATACAAAAGACCTTGCATTCCAAGGACGAAAAGACTAAAATATCTCCGCCGCAGTAAACCTGCAGACTAAGCAAATTTCCATTTATCTGGCTGGATTTCCACAAATTAAAGCACATTAAAACCAAAAAGTAAATCGGTCCCGGGTATAGTTTTACCATGAGACCTACGTTAAAAGCTTATTTCCTATAAGGGAAATTTGCTGAAAAAACAAAGCCGATTACAACTTTAAAGTAAATTTGTACATTAAATAGGGGACAAGATAAGCAATAATGTAATACATTACATGAACAATTTCACATGCTCAGAATTACGTCCCATGTTATAATCAATTGAGTTCATACTACATTATTCATCATAGCATGGTATCAAGATCAAATGTATTACTATCTTCTGATTGGTAACAACTAACACAGGATGGATATGCACTCAAGATGTGTAAAAGGCTTAAAATTTAAATTTTAAAATGAAAATGTTTTTGAAGTGCATAAAAGGATTTTAAGTAGGGATAACCTACTGTGCAAAAGTATGATTACTGCTTTTCTATGAGCAATAATTTTTATAATACAATTTCAAGACTCACATATATGCTCAGAATTACGTCCCATGTTTTAATCAATGCAATTCATCGAACATGATTCATCATAGCATTAGTGATATCTAAATATTAGTGATATCAAAACCGTGTGAGCAACTGTTTGACCATTTCATAAATTATTGGAATTGTATCGTCTGAAAACATACGGGATCTATTTGTCAAAAGCGTATGTTGTTTTTATTGTGTTGAAAAAAAAAATGCATACCTACATTTTTTTCTTTCTGCGAGAAGAAGTTAATTATATGTCATTTACAATTATTAGCATATTTTTTCTGGAAAGGGTAGATCAACTCGTGGGAATATCCCCTTGGAATAGTTAGTTATAGCAACAGTGATTCTAATTACACAATCTAAAAGAAAGGTGGCTTCATTAAATTTTTTTTATTCACTCATTGTCAAAAAGTTCTAGCACAATGATAAATAACCTATCGAAAAAGATTTAATTTTACCATTTTAGCTAAATTTAAAAGTAATTACAAGACTACATCAAAACATTCACTGTATGTGTTTGATGAAAGTTTTATTATATCTTTTAAGTTTTTATGGTGAAACAGAAACAACAATAGGAAAATTGTAAATACATTTTATGTTAGTTAGCTTACAGTGTAAATATTGAGTAATGACTAAAACTCACCCTGTATACAAATTTTTTATGTACAAGTTGATATACAAATTTTTGCATGCACAAATCATTTTTATAATACACTTTCAAGACTTACATACATGCTCAGAATTACGTCCCATGTTTTAATCAATGTTAATTCATACAACATGATTCATCATAGCATATATTAGCAGTATCAAAATCGTGAGGGTAACCATGTTAAATATTGGTATTGTATTGTCTGAAATCATACTGAATCTATGTCAAGAGTGTGTATTGTTTTTCTTGTGTTGGAAAGAACGCATGGCTACATTGTTTACTTTATGTATTTACTACCATTCTAGCTAGACCAAGCCTTAAAGTGATAAAAACATTAACAAGAATCGTTATTTGATTTTTATGGTTTTAGTCTCCATTTCCAGATTTGAAATTTTTTGTTTTGACCTTCATACGTTTAATGAATGAATTCAGCAATTTAATCACAAGGTTCCTATACACAAACAAACAAGACAATTCATATTTGTTTCTGTGCCGTGTTGACCTACCTTTGCCACGATCTGTCTCTCTCCATAGCTCTGTCTCTGTCAATCCTGTAGTTCCTGGAAGACTCATGATGATGGCTTCGTCTTGGAGAACGACTCCTCCACTTCTGTCTTCTGTAGCCATCCCGAGATCTAGATCTTGATCTGCTACGACTGGAAAAAGATTCTTGGTTTAGAATCAGTTTGCAGACAACATGTAAAATTACCACATAGCTTTTGATGGGGGGAGGGGGGAGAACTCCAGTAAATAACCCTTCTCTTCACAAAAGAGAATAAAAAAAAGTAAAATAACATCGACAAGAGGGCTCTGTTTGCTCAGAACCACAAGGCCTGGCATTATGACATTGAAATCTTTTGTCGATTGATGCAAGCCTGAACCTCCAAAAAGTTTCAGATTCTAAGACTAGACCAGGTGTTCTCCGGCCAAAATAACTAAGACAACAAGCAATAATCTCACCCCAGTTCACTTAATTTGATGCAGGTTAATTATTTATCCTAAATTGCTTGTTCTTTGGTAAAACAAATTTTAACCAAACATTGAAATATTCATACTGCAAGAAAAAAGAAAATCTATTCTAATAACTTTTAAAGTTCATATCGTGGGGTTTTTTTTATCTACAAGTCCAAAGCAAATAGAGATGTGCGGATAGTGAAATTTCATTTCGGATCGGATTCGGATCGGATAGTTGAGGCTCGGTTCGGATCGGATATTGGGAGGTTCGGATTCGGATATTTTCAGATTCGGATAGTTCGGTGCGGTTAATAATAAGCTGCATATGCATTTTTTACATATAAAACACTGTAAAGCTGTGTAAATAAACATAAATGGTGATTTTGAATCATAAAATTTCAAATTAGCCACGTCCACAGTTTTTCTCTCTTGAAAATCACAATTCACAACATCTATTTTCAAAAGTTGGTTGCTTGAATTAAGTACACTTGCAGCCGAAATCTTCACACAACACCTTAGCTCAGCAGGACTGATGTCAAAACGTTTGGGTTTGTTTACTTGAGGTTATGTTTTATGTTGTTTCCTGGTTCTCACAAGACAAGGATTTCTATCTCAATTTTATTTTCACATTGTATTTCCTTACGTTTATGGAACAGATTATTGGCCTTAAGTGGCATTCTTGGGGTTTGCCAAGTTTAGAAAACATCACTAATACACTAAACTGGGCTCTAGATTTGATGTTGTGGCAAGTTAATTAGAGCAATTAGGCTTTATAACTCTGTAAAAGGTGTGTATCCCTGAATTTATAAATTTCATTCTACACTTATTCACTGCCAAACATAATTCAGTAGATCCTTGATGAACCAAGAATTACACTAGCCTACATAACTTCATTACCCCAAGTAAAATACCAAGATAAGTTTTAAAAGTTAAAAAGTTATAAGTTTGTTAAAAATGGATTTTAAATTCAACAATTATTGCAGTCCATTATTGTTATGCAGTATGGTCCCAAGTTATTTGCTTTTGATTTTGAAACATCACAGTTCATTTGAAAAAATTAAAGTTGAAGCAGCCCAAGGTCAACAAGTCACCCGCATGTACAACAATAGTTTTTTTACAAGCTTTCTCCAGACCTCTGGGAGGGTCGGGTCTGATAAGCCGTCTATTGTTCACTTCAACCCTCATTAGTGCCGCTCGGCTGCACTCAGTGGGGAACCCAATACCACAAATCAATCTTTTAAATGAATAAACATATTTGGTAATAATTGTTTTATTGATATTCACCTTGAAATTCCAATAAATTTGGTGTAAAATTTGACAAAAACCGGCCAATTTATTAATACATTACCAATCAAGTACATTGGTAATTAAATAATAGGTAAAAATTAACCGATTTTTGTCAAGTTTTACCCCCTGCTGTGCTATGTCACAAAAGCTGATAACGACATGGGCAACTAGGCAACTTGTTGAATGCGTGATGAAAGGGAAACCCAAGAAATAGAAGAACAAAGAGAAAGTATAATGACGTTGTTATCTTTAAATGCCCTTTTTACAATTGCTGTTATTGTTATTATCTTTATGTAAGATTTTATGATTTTGTTTTATAGGTTTATAAAATAATTCTTTTTAACCACGGGAATATCAATTTATAATTTATCAACGTGTTTCTCCTGAAACAGCAATACCGGATGTATAATAAAGGTCAATGACCTAAAATATCTTGATTGTGCAATATTGTATTTTGATGTTGAAATTCAAATCATGACAACAGTTTGTATATTTCCCCTGGTCCCTATCATTTAATCATTTTATATAGGCTACACAATCAATACTAAATAATCGTGGTTAGTTCTAATTTTATTTTTGATTATTCAAAGTTTCAACACAATAAGACAATCCAAAGTCAAACCGGGCAATGAATACTCGAAAAACAACGTATCTTGTCCTGTGATTGGAATACCACTCGCCAGTACTTTAGATTTAGGGAAGTAGTGCAAGTCTACATATAGCTTCAAGGTCGTACCCACCCCTTCCCCCCTCACGGCCTACTCGACTCACTGTTGCTACCCGTTACCCAGGCTCCTTTCGAGGTCATTGCCCAACCCCTCCCACCCTTCTATTGTGTTGCCTTTCTATTGTTTCTATTCTGACTTTTTTCGGGAAACATTAAACCTATTGTTTACGTAACAGCACATAAGTAGGCTAGATTTTTATGATTTAAAACAGTACTGTAAAAAAAAACTATTACGCATAGCGCCCCTAGTATCAGGAGACAAGCACGAGTTGACCATGGAAGTTCTTTTCTGCTTTATGTATGTTCATTCCAGACGAATCTAATCGTAAAGCAAAACAACTGATAACGTTCCAGACGAATCTAATCATAAAGCAAAACAGCTGATAACGACTAAACTAGACATCGGTATTGCATCATACGGCTTCTTTGTCCTTTGCTGTTACGTCGTCGTCATTGGAAACGTATTGCCGTAATTTTGTCCAGGGAAACTAATGATGGTTATGAAGATTTAGTTTTCTGTCCAAGACGTCAAAATATGTTGTCTATCCGAAAAAGTCGGATATATAACAGATAGTATCGGATATCAAATTTAGGCTCGGTTCGGATACGGATATCCGAACCGAACCGAATCCGACCCGATTTTTCGGATAACCGCACACCTCTAAAAGCAAAATATAAATAATCATTTAGCACGAAAACTGAATGTATTTAGCTAGATATTTTGCAAACCTTGATGAGTCAGAGCTAGATCCTGAAGATGAGCGTGAAGGAGATCTGGACCACATTCGAGACACACTTGACTTGCGTCTGCTCCTGCTCCTGAAACCAACAAAACTGGACTTTGGTATGTGGAAAACAAAATTATCATAGCCAAAAAATAATTTAAGGAATAATATCATTAACACAATTAAGAGTTGTGATGAAATTACAATCATCACTTAGAAAACATAATTATATCAGTTAGTTGTTTCAACACTTCCAACACAATTCTTTCTAGACTTTACCTTTTCCTCCTACTTGTTTTCCGCCTGTGAGAGCGGTGGCGGTCAGACTCAGCACTACAAGAAGAACTAGACGAGCTTGCATGCCTGGATTGGTAACTTCTATGTTTGAGATCATTCCTACGAAATGAGCAAAATTTGAATTAGCTTCATCATCTAAATATTTGTACTGAATAAAAATTTAATTAATTTAGACAACAATCTTTAGTCTTAAAAAGTAGATTCAATATGATTGAGAGTCATGGGAGCATTTCCTTCAGTACATTTTATCAAGGAAATAGATTATACTGCACACAATCCTTACATTATAAACAATTTATAGTATAAATTGGTTTGGCTGCTACTAACATTCCAGATCAGATACTATCTAGCGATTAAATAAGTAATCCTCATAAATTCTAGGAAATACCCAATAAAGTTTACATCATTTCTGGAATAGTTTTCAGATCAGCCTTATTTCTCAATATAAAAACATATATTTGAGATTACAAAATACTTAAAACTGCTATCACAGATTTGTTTAAACACCCTGAAAAAAATTTAAGAAAAGAAATATGTTTGTAAAGGTGTCTATTACTACATCATAAACATAAATGTTTAAACTTGGTACTACAGTAAAACAAAATTAAACAATAATCGTAATTTATCATTGTGCGGCTGTGGAACTCCTAACTGGACCTGTCTTGTAGCATAAGCAGTCGTAGCATAAAAACTCTTCAATACTGTAGTCAATAATTTCAACAAATTACTTAAGTACTAAATGTTATCTAAATTACAATTTTTGCATCTCTGATCAGAACTACTATCTAGCTTTACAGGTTTCATCACTTGTTGCAGATATACCCACAATGTCATCACCTCAGAGATGTTAAATGAAGTTTATATTCATGTATTGTATGTAGACATGTTTCTATAATCCTAACAATATTAAATTCCAATACTAGATTAGATTGCATCACTTTTCAGGTAAGCGTTAAAATAGCTTTAATCATAGGCTAATTGTAGATAAGTAATACAATTTTATAGGCATTTATTTAAAAGAGTATTAACTACCAAGGAAATTTTGAATAAAGAATTTATAACACCAATTACTACTACAGTAGAATCTTCGGCCCTCGGGTAATTCGGCCCTCAATACTCTCAACACTCCAGTAAAGACTGAACTCAATTCCTTCCCTAAAGAATCATAATTTAAAAGGAATTTTGGCGGTCAAAAAGTCACTCTAGTTTAATTTAGTTTTTATTTACGGTAGGCAATTATCTTTGGTCTTAAAAATTTAGATTCAACATGATTGTACTTGGTAGTATATCCTTCAATACATTTAATCTACAAACAATCATAATGCACACAATCCTTAAATTATTGGGACAATGACAATATAAACATTATAATAATTGGTTTGGCTGTGACTAACATTTCCAGATCAGATACTATCTAGCGATTAAATTAGTAATCCTCACAAAGTGTAGGAAATATCCAATAAGTTTACATCATTTCTGGAAAAAATTTCAACAATCTTTAAAAAATGTGGACTTTACTTAAACCTGGCTTAAGCCCTACCGGCCAACTGTTATCAAGGTTCTACTTACTTAATAACTATCCGCTAAAAATGGATTGATAATAAATTATTAACTAAATTTAAATTAAATTAATAAATATCATAAAATCCATGTTAAAAGTTTAACTGAATTTGTCTGAAAATATGCACCAGATCAGATACTATCTAGCGATTGAACATGTTAATCCTCATTGTTGTAGGAAAACTCTATTATTCTCCATCACATCTGGATACATTTTCAGCAAATAAAGTACCCTATACTTGGATTTTTGATGAAGTGGGCTGCTTGGTATTTTATTTACACATTAATTTTTAAAATATTATAGTTCAGTACTTAGGGATATACAGGGTGTCCCACGTAGGGGTTTAGACATTTGATTTTATATTACTTGGCCACTTATGTTCTTAAGGTTTTAAGTTCACATATAAAGTGAAATTTTCAGCTTTATAACATTCATATAAACAAAATGGTGGCACAATTCCAATTTTTTTTATTACTCGATTTGTTTACTGCGTTGCAGTTGAAGCGTATTTATTTTCAATGAAAACTGAAATAAGTAGGCCTACTGTCAAAGCTGCAGGATTTAAAGTATTGCTTGATCCGCAAAAATATAGCTTAATCTTCTCGAAGGCAGTTTTACGAACTTTAACAAACGCAATATCTTAAACACACATAAAGAAAATTCTTAGAATTCCAGTTTTAGTAAAACTTCATCTAAGGAGGTAAGGTTATGTTTTTATGGCTTAAGCAATACTTTTAAATTATATCATGGCTATCCGAAAAATGTGTCAAAACTACAACGTTAAAAATCAGGAAATAACGTAAAATTTCATTTGCATAGGAATAAAATTGCTAAAATTTTCAATACACTACCATTTTGTTTAAATAGTTACGAAACCTACTTGATAAATTGTGTTAAGTTTCAAAACTGTTGGTACCGGTACATAGGCGGATAAGAAATATAAAATCAAATGTCTAAACCCTCAGTTTTTTGTCTATAGTTTAATTTAGTAGCCTAGGTATAGAAATATAATACTGTATGTATATAATGAAAAACCACCTGAACTAATTGTCTTGAGGTGTGTTTAGCCCCCTAGGCCCTACATCCAACTTATTTTACTTAGCCTATAAGAGACATTTTACATTTAAACTTGACAGAACATTTATCTAATTTGATTCCCTAAACCTTATTAGGGAAATTTTTTGCACCCTTTTTTATGTTGAAGTACAGCTGCCTACCTCAACTGCCCTCAAATGACTCCTAGAAGATACTGTTCTCAATTTTAAACCAATTGAACTCAATATTACAAAACACTATTTATGAAAGTTGTAAAATCTTTTTTGGGTATTCAACACTGGATTTTATTCAGTGAAGGGCAGATTAAGAGGGTATAACCAAAAACATTCAGTGGACCTACATAACAAACATTTGGTAGGTTAACATCATACACCCAACTCAGTCAACAAAAAGGTATAGTGACAGTACCTTTTGTCTTTACTGTCCATCCTCGATTTCTCCTGATCCTTAGAGGAGTTTGAAGAAGTGAGGTCAATGAAGTCACAAGTTTGAGTTTGGACTTCTACGCTGTGCATTAATGGTTTTTCCTTAGGTACACCTGAGTAAATACAGTTCTAATAATAATACCTTATATGAGACTCAGACTATTCTATATAACAGGAAAAAGATCATTTACCACTTAAAGCACATATGTATAAACAGAAACTGCATGTAACCTAAGATTTACACTTTTTTGGCAGTACCTACCTTTATTCCCTACATTTTTAAGTAGAAAATATAGGATATAAAACCAGGTAAATTAAAAACAGATATACCTCAAAATACAGGATAAAAATCAGTAATAGAATCTGGCAATACTACTGCCAATCTTCATATTGTTTCATCCATCGCTGAAAGTATTCTTGGAAGCTAGGAAATTGACACAAGGTGGTTCCACAAAAGAAATTAAGTTACAGGGTTTTTTATAATGCAATCCAAATTACAAGATGTAGGCCTACCATAAGACTCTTTTTAACGACAAAACAAGCTCACATTTTGGTATCACCAGCTCACATATTGGTATCCCTGTTTACTGTACTTTGTTACCAATCAGCTGAGAGCTGATATGCATTGTTGCGAGGTTATCTATATAGATGAGTTTTAGTGTAATTGGGAATTTAATATGAAAAGACCCAACATGGTATTTTTGCAAACTCGAAGAGTTGTACATTAAAAGAAAATCATTGGTTATGCTAAGAAAGGTTTGAAATAAAGTTTCTAGGCGTAATTCCAGTAGGCCTACCTAAGAAATCAATTTAGCCTATATTTATCCTTACGTGTTCTGTAGTTATGATTGACACCTTGTTTACTAGCAGAAAGAAGCCAAGTCTAAACACAATAATACAGTACCACAGGTTGTTTTAATGTAAGTGGTAATAACTGGAATTAATAGTGAAGCTGCATCGAACTTAGACGGGTACTCTTCCCCCCCATCTAAACTGTTTTCTGTTAAAGGATTAGGTACATTAGTGAAACTGATCCTCACCCTCTTGAGAAGTGGAGTCTGGTTGAGCAGGGGGTGTAGGACAGGGAACAGGAGAGTTGGCTCTACTGCTTTCTTGACTGCGGATTCTCTCCCTCTCTTCTCTCCTCACTCTATATTCTTCTAGGTTCAGCTTCTTTTTCTTCCTAACGATTTCCTGTTTGTCCATTTCACACTGAGTGCTTGCCACATCACTATATACAACCGGTGAAGCACACTGATTAGATATTTCACTAGAATTTAAAGCGTCTTTTTCTACTTTGATGTTCTTTTTAAGAACCGAAACCATAGGTATATTTTTACGAAGCAATGAGTTCTTATTTCCTGTCACCCGAGTCTCATTCACTAAACTAATACTTTTTTGTCCTATACCGTTTTTGAAAACTATCTTGCTTTTTGTTTCATTGACTAAAGGAACTTCTTCTTCACTGTTTTCGCCGGATTCTAAACCCGAATCTTTTCTAGACCCTGTGTCACAAACTCTTCCAGAGTCTTTAGAAATCTTGAAATCTGGAAGACGTGAGGATGTGTCAGGAGTGGAGCTCTGGCTAGGATACTCGGAGCTGTCAGACATGTAGTAGCTGCGTGAACTGCTAGCTGTGGAGTCGCCTCCGTTTGTACAGTAGTCGTGGTCCAACTGAACTGATTCTCCACTCGACCCTCCTGTTATCTGGACAAATAAATCACAATCTTATAAAAATCTTCTTCAAGATTAAGTTACATAAATTTAGACAACTTTATTTTACAATTAAGAAAAACATCTGCTCAAAAAAATAGCTATATTCAGTTATTAACTACTCTAATACAATTTTGACAGTAACCATTTGGCTACTGTATTTTCTAAGACAAAAAGGAACTTGACAATATGTGGCTTTGAGGCACATGAATCGTAAATAAAAAACTGTACTGACGTCTTAGTTTTCCTCAGGATTAAATCTCAATGAAATGATTAAAACTATGTACACGTCAGCAGCTTTTGATAGTTTGGGTAGGCTAATTTACCAATTTAAGAAGTTTATTTCTTGAGAGAGTAGCTCCAGCATCCTGCATTCTAGTGGCAGCTTTGCCTGGACGTTTGTTAGGCATGGCAGGTATGACTGGTATAACCTTCTTGTGGTTCTCACGAGAAGCCTGAAACAAACCACATGAACAATAGCAATCATTTCATTATCTTTAATCAAATAATTTGGCACCAATGGGTGTCTCAATGAAACAATCATACTATATTTAAGTTTATCTAGATGACTACCTAACAACATTATGCTTATCTTTTGTTAATATTCCAATGAAAATGCAAGTCTAAAACAAAACAAACAGAATCTACATGTGTAATGGAACAGAACATAATATACATTACTATTACATAGTAAGTGGTATAAATTGATAATGTTTTAAGAAGGCCAAATTTTTCTTTGCAATACAGCAAATCCCAAAAAAATTAAACCATAAAAGTGTACTGACAGGTTGGGCACCTTTCTATATGGGTCACTGAAATGACTACTGACATTTCCTTAACGATAATATTTTGTACATAGGTGTTAATATTTAAACTGTGTTTCAGAAGTAAATGTTACTTGTGCAAACAGGTTAAGTTGCTTCTAATGCTCCTGAAGATGTAACTATTTTCAAGCGATTTCTCGTAATGAATCATTCAATTACGAGTATGTCATAAATCAAGAAATCATCTAAGTTAATGCAAAAGCTATCACCTTGATTCTCTGTATAACCTCCATTGGAAGAGCGTCCCGGATGGTCTGACTTGAAGGTCTGGGAGGTGAAGGGGGTGTCTGAACTGCATTCACCTTCTCTGTAGCCTCAAACTGCTCCAGCAGACTTGTCAGATCTCCAGCCATCAGTAAAGGGACTTCCTCACTCTCTACAGTTTCCACATCTACTTCTTTTTCTGGTTCCTCTTCAACTTCTTTCTTCAGAAAGATATGGGGTTTTTGTTGCAAATTATCATTACTTGCCGCGGTCTTCACACCTAATTTTGTTACATTTGACGATAACTCCAATTCTTCCTGAAAGGTTCCAGTAGGTTCTGGTTCTTTTTTGATGATTTTCCTCAACTCTGTAGTAACGGCAAACGCCTCCCTGTGAAGAACATTATTTTATATCAATGTGAAAAAAAAAGAAAAATGACAAAGAAATCGCATTTCACAACTTGGATATTATTCAATTTGCTGAAGCCTGATCAAAATACTTATTTACTTACCTATATTTCAATGTCGCCTCTGTATTCACAGGTGGATTGGTCTTTGGTGTTTCCAGAGGGAACAGTTCATCTATACTCGGGTCAACAGCCGGGGCTGGAGTAGGTCTGGCACAAGATGTGTCTGAGCTTGGGAACATTTCAGGAACTTCCTCTGTGGTGTTGTTTCCAAGGGGAACTTTTTGCCTGATGGCTTCAGGCTCCTGTATTAACAGCTAATTAGTAAAAACTTCCAATCCAACACTTTCATAAAACATTAAATGTAGCCTATTCAAACAATTGTCTAAAGGTATTGTACCTCAATTTAATATTGTTAGCATTTTATATGCCAAGTAGAAGAAAATATACATGTATGAACACTTTACAAGTAAATACCTAAGAGAAGTTTTTGAATGTGGTGTAGCTTGTGTTATTCGCGGAAGCACTGACCATGTGCTCTGGATGCAAGCCAACTCTCCCTACTCTTGTTGGCACCGGACAAAGTACTCAAAAGTTTATTGGAGACAAATTAAAACATGTTTCAATGTTATGTTAATTATTACTTCAGACATTAGGTTGTCGCATTAATGCATATTTACTTAAGGATTTCATGTTTCTAAAAAAATAAAATTGAAACCAGCATTTCACTAACATAAAATAATATTTATAATTGGAAATTCTTATGGTAACAGGTACTATTTAACAAAAGAATTAAAATAAATCAAGCCCAAGTTTTAATGAATGCCTAGACTCAGACTACTAAAAATTGCAAAAAACTGTCACAAAATTCAATTAACTTGATTTAACTAACAATTTCTGTGAGTAAGTTCTGGTTAAAAAGTTTAAAACAAATTAAACATTAACAAACTTCAACACATTAAATCAATTTACTCACTAGTAGGTATAATGGCAATTTACCCACAGTTTGGATTTTAATGTGTGCTACCAATTTTGGAAAAAGACCCGGAAATATTTTGAAAACATTTAACGCGAAGACCCTAAATGATTATTCAAAGAATTTGAGTTGCCTAATAGTTTAATAATAAATGTGCATTACAAAGGATAAGACCAACGATTCTCTGATCAGAACTACTATATAGCATGCTTATATCATCATAGGTAGGCAGATGGCCCTTGCAGTGTCATCATTTGAGAGATTTGTTGGCTACTTCCTTTCACACAGTAAATTAGTAGGCATAAGGTAATCAATGGTAAAAATAACAGTTACTTCTTTGAATGCAATTCTGTAACCATTACAACTGAGTGAAATTCCGACAACTTCTCTCAATGTCTAGGTACGACAGGGACTATCAGTTGCCTAGGTCCTCTCACATGAGAACATCACTGCAGAGAACATTCAAAGTAGATTGTAGATGCATATTATTTTTATGAAGCATAACAATGCATTTAACTATTTTTTACTTTCTAAAGCACTATTACACAGGAAAATTTTCTGAACCTCTCACTCCTGAAAACTAAACAATGATCTAATTTTAAACCTGCATAGTAAAATTTTTACCAAATTATACACATAATCTATAACAGGGTGTCTAGTTTATTTCAATTTTAAAATTCAAGACTAATTCCAGACTTTTTAAGACTAATTAATTCCAGATTTTTCAAGACTAGTTTCGATTCTCAATTCTTGATACCGATACCAATTTTTATAGTTCAACCAAATGTTCTAAATCTACACCCTGTCTTTATGTCATTGGTCATTGTAAAAGGTAACGTCATCGTCGTTGTCTGCGACCGCGGCTAAATCATAACATCTCCTCCCGACTTTCCCGCTTTTCCCAACTACTAGACACCCTAGCTATAATATCAAAATTTTTTACCTCACCTGACCTATTCATCTCATATAGAGATTTAGATGGGAGTTGTCAAAGGAACATCAAGATGGAAAGGTGTCAGAATTGCATTTAGGCTATGACTCAAAGCATTCTAAACATTTATACTTAATGTAGATCATTAGTGTACCTGCATATAGTCAAGATGATTTTGCCATTCATGAAGCATTTTTTGAAATTCTTCTTTTTGTGCTTGATCCTCTTCTCCGACTTCACTGAAATATGTGTCGAATGATAAATTGATTGTAAGCTAGCTAAATCCTAAACATAAATTTTCAAACTTAGTTACTTTATTTTAAAATAGCGTACAGATTTACTTTTAAAATTTAATTTTTGATGCTTTGAGCATTAGAAATTGTATTGCTTCAAATAAAATCAGGGCATGTGATTAAATTTTAAAACAAACACCTATTTCACACTCAAAATCGTGGTTGAAAACAGTGCGAAACGCTGAAAATCAACACATCTGTTTTGGGACAAATCTTTTTGTTCAAATGCATGATTTAGTCTATTAGGCCTTTACACATTATTTTCCCATACGGCACTTTTTTGGCAAGTAACGCTGTTTTCTCCCCGAAAATCTGTTTTGAAAAATAAAAAAAAAATTTTTTAGTGACAAATGTTTAGATAAACTAAAATAGCATATTCTCCCCCAAATTGTTATTTTACTGAAATATATTAAACTAACTGCTTACAGTACAGTTACTCTTAACTTAAACTAACCCTAACCTAGACCCAGGTTAGCATTTTAGTTAATCTTCATTTAAAAATAGTTTAGGCTATTTGAAACAGTTAGGTTAGGTTGGTTTAGTTACTCTAACTTAACTTAATTCAAGCTAGGCTGAGTTTAGGATTTTTATATCTCTTTATCGTTATAAATCCATTTGGAGAATAAGATTAGGTTAGTTTGTGTTCAAACCCCTTTAAGCGATTTTCAATGGAAATTTTAGGGTGAAATAGGCATTCCCGCCAAAAGTGCCAAAGGAGAAAAAAAGTTCAAAATGGGCCAAATAATAATAATAAGAAAATAGGCTATTATAAAAACAAAGTACAAATTTTCTAAAAAAATTCTGATTTTCAGCCCTTTTAAACTGTGATTTTTAGGGAGAAATAGGCGTTCCCTCCAAAAGTGTCAGAGTAATATGTGTTCTAAATAAGAAGTCAAAATAATAAAGTTAAAAATATTTTTTACTTTGTTTTGAGACCCTAAACTAATCAAATACAGAGGCATTGACAATACACTCGATTACATGGTTCTTTTAAATTTGTAAACAAATAAAAGCAGACGGGAGTCCAGAGTGTTACTGACCCTGAGATAAGCAGCTTAGATTTGCAATACATACGCGGCAAAAAACACCAATAATTGTGAGCAGCACTTGTACAACTACGTCAATAAACAAATTTTATCACACACTTTGACCTTGAGATAACACAGTCTGCTATGACCCTGCTTGATTCATACTACTTGGTATGTTTCTCTACTGTGTACAGTAACAGCTAATTGTTGACTCAAAATAAAGTGAATCAATAGTAAATCTGAAGCTCACTTAACGTTTCAGTTATCAGGAATGTTTATGGTTATTGAGTGGTGTGTGATAGCTGTGGGCCTACTAAGATAGCGTACTGTGATTCATATAGTTTCCAATCCAGTAATACTAAACATTACAAATTAAATTTGAAACATTTTTACCCTTTGAATGCATTGATCTCTTTTTGGTGAATTTCCCATATAGGGAATAAGCTATTGCCGTAGGTCTCGTGGTAAGACCTAGACCTGGGACCGATTTTCATTTTGAGGACCCCAGAAGCTAAAAACGCCATCCGGTCAAATTTATATATATATGTCCGTTAGCACGATAACACAAGCAAAAATGATACGATTTTTATGAAATTTAGTATAAATTTGTCAACTTATTCAAACAAGTTCGAGAACCAGCATGATTGGACTGTGGGAACGGGGGTTTATAGAGTAAAAATGGGTTAATTTGCAATTTGTTTCCAAACCATTTTGTAGAGCATAAAAAATAATAATTTAGGCATGTATATTGAAGCACTTTCATGCACTTATTAAGAGTCCTTGGAGGCTAGTGGCCATCTTGGGTTAATTTCAAACAGCTGCTTACAAGTTATTTACCATTCCAAATTTTTTCCCATAGTGATTATAATTTAAATATCTAGGGCACTGTGGGATTAGAAATTGTCTTTGTAGTTTTGTAATTGTTTTTTGAGTTAGAACGTATAGGCTCCATCGACTCTTTAAGGAAAAAATAAAAAACTGTAAAGGTAGGCCTACTTTGGTATTATAAGGAGGTCACTTATTTTACAGCGCGCTGCTGTCGTTATGTTGGGTTATCATAAATATGTTTGTAGGCATTTCCTTGTTTCATTATGATACCAGATGAGTCATACTTTCTATTTAAGATAACCCAACCTAACATAACCGCTGCAGCACACTGTATAAGGGTGGCTTAAACTTATGTTATTTAAAAAGGGAATAAATATTACATTTTCAAGGAGATATTTTAACGAAACTCCAATCAGTCAAATGGAAATTTGCTTAGTCTGCAGGTTTGCTGTGGCGGGTTAAAAATGTTGAAAAACCTAAAAGTGAAAACTCAGTTGTCCTATTCAATAGGCCTACTGTTTATTATATTGAAAATCTTGTAGGCCCTAATGAAGAATTTAACTTATTACAAAACACTAATAATACTTATTTGTTAATTTGTTAAATTATCCCTGTTAAATAAAATATGACACCAGATTAATGTCATATTTGACCTGCATAGCCTGAATATGCTCAAAGCAAGATTTCTAATTGCAAACTTAAAAATTAATTTTTAAATATATATACTTTTAACCTAAATAAAATAAGAGGTGTTTCAAACTAAATAATATCAGATAGAACATAATTTAAAGAGTTTTGTTTTTAATAAAAATAAAATCAACATAGGATGTGCATTCTACCAGACATGTATCGTTGTGTCCTTAACCAAAAATAAACTCTTCATGCTTGCCAATTGGGTTCAAGCTTTAAGTAACATCTCTGACCGGTGGTAACCTCGTTTTAACTAGGCCTAATGATTTACTGTACCTTCTTGCACAAAGTGATAAAAGGTGTAATAATAAAAAGTCAAAAATGTAAACTAATATAAAAATGAGTGTCATGTTTGATCAATTCGTATGATTAAATTTAACAATGAATAACATGAAAATGTCAAAGTACATATTACTGACATGTTGACTAAAGAATTCCTAGACAAAATCAGTTTCAGGTCAGATACTATCTAGCAAATGAAGGAATCATCACAGAATTTAAGATGTATCCCAAAATTTTTCATCATTCCTGAAACATTTTGTTGCATGAAAATTAATGGTTCCTTTTAATAATACAAGATTTACTTACGTGTCATCGTTTGAAGGCCACAGACTATCATAATCAATAATTTCGGGTACTATCATCTCCCCAAAAAGTATGTGTTCGTTGGCGTCAAGTTCATGACCCTGAAATTTCATAAAATAATTTATGAAACATCATATTATTAAATTGCCTATAATTAAAAATATTTCTAAAAACAATAAATGAGAAAAACAAATACATTTTATTTTCAGATCTTATCAAATTTTTATTTTATTAGGCCTATATTTTTTTGACTTGTAGGCCTAATCCTTTAAGATTTGAAAAAATTCCTTCCCAGTTTAAATTTTTTAAGGGGAAACCGCAACTGGATTGATTATTTTAGCATACAAATAAGCATAAAATATAAATAAGTGATTCTTTATAGCCAATACTGTAAAAGGGTTTGATGCATTGCAAAGCCACAAATTGATGGTATTGTTGAGATTACAGCACTAACAAAAACAATATCTTCTAGTCCTTTATAAATAACATTTAAAATAAGCAGACAGATATTTAAAATTAAATCAAACACAAGTTAGGTTATAGGCTAAGTTATAACAAGTTGTTATAGTTATAACAAGTAGGTAAGAAAATACTCTTTAATCATAGAAAATTTGGTTATTTTCATTTAAACACAATAATCAACACTGTGATACATTTTGCTTATCAGCAAGGGTGCTTAAAACATTGTAGCATTCCAAAACTAATAACTGACACTGTGAATAAAATATTGTGTGCCTAACCATTGTTTTATCTACCAGAAAGGCAGTAATGTAACTTATCAATTAACATTATAGTAAATATGAAATTAAAATGAATACCTGATTGTAAAAAGGAGAAGAGAAATGTTCTTCATCATGAATGGGGTTTAGGAAACCAGTTTCCATGTTGACTGGATATACAGTTGAAACTGCAAAAAATAGGAATATCATAGCAAAATATTTTATAAATTCTACTTAGTGACCAATGGAATGTTTGAATATAAAGCATAGGCCCACTTTTTGTAAAATAAATATAACAAATTATTGTAAGGTAATGTTGTGTGTCATAAGGACATGAATCACCATGCCAGATTAGAATTAAATAAAATACCCCCGCCGCAGAAAACCTGCAGACTAAGCGAATTTCCATTTGCCAGATTGGATTTAATAAAAATGTCTACTTAAAAATATGACATTTATTTCCTATTTAAATAGAATTAGTTTTACAAGTACCTACTTAGGTTTGCTGCATCAGGGAGGATAAAACTGTTTTTTTTTTTTTTTTTTGTAAAATGTTAATAGTTAGTCTATATATATAAAATCCAATGTATGTTTGTATGTTTGTATATTTGTATATTTGTATGTTTGTCCTTTATGGACTCCAAAACCGCTCGACAGATTGTAATGAAACTTTCAGGCATTATTAAGCATTATTCAAGGATGGTTTGTGTGAAGTTTGGTGCAGATCCGTCGATAGGGCTCCGCCCCAGTGGCTCTGGAGTTTCCCATGTTAACCTTATGAGTACGATATTTAAATGGAATTAAAGAATCTTAACAGCTGGTGCAACTAAACAATTTGATTCTGTGATGTTCAATAGCATTAAAAAGTTAATAGGTTTACCAACAGGGTGCAGCACTATATTTATTTTTAATTTATGAGAACAGTTAATTTGCAACCAAAAGGTGAGTGAGCGTACCGAACGAACTTCAACCTGGAGGCGAGTTAGCGTAGCGAACGAGCTAACCTGAAGGCAAGTGAGCGCAGCGAACGAGCTCCAACCTAAAGGTGAGTGAGCGTAGCGAACGAACTTCAACCAGGACGTGATTGAGCCATGCGAACGAGCACATCTTGAAAATGAACGAGCATGTGACATAAAACCACAATAGGACAGGACGACGTCTGTCGGGCCAGCTAGTAAGATATAGGCCTAAAAATATTTTCCAAATTTGATCAAAATATGTTCATAAACAAGCAAACTACAACAGTTTACTTGTTCTCCATGAGAATAACATGGGAATTTTAAATTAACATTTTTTTTTTTTTAATTTTCTCCGTAACCATTAGGCGCATAGTAACGCTTCAATATAATAAGTTATTTGTTTTTTTGAGCTCTACAAAATGGTTTGGAAAGAAATTGCAAAATTTATGGTTTTTTGGTCAAAAATGGGAAAAACCTATTTTTACCCCACAAAACCCCCCCGTAAACCCCCGTTCCCATAGTCCGATCATGCTGGTTCGCGAACTCGTTCAAAGAAATGTAGGTTTACACGTTCATACCAAATTTCATCAAAATTAGATCATTTTTGCTCGAGTTATCGTGCTAAACGACACACACACACACACATATATATATATGTATATATATGTATATATATATATATATATATATATGAATTTGAACGGATGGTGTTTTTGGCCTCTAGGGACCTCAAAACAAAAAAGTAAATCGGTCCCGTGTCCAGGTCTTACCATGAGTACTACGGTAATAGCTTATTCCCTATATGGGAAATTCGCTAAAAATACAGCCTAGGCCTATCTTTCATTGTTGTGTCTGTACCACACTAATTTTTAATTAAAACAATCATATGGTTTATTTGCTTAACATAAAATATTAATTAGCTATAACAAAACCCCAAAAAATGAGAATCAACAAGCCTGCAGAACATTGAAACGAGACACAGCAATTATAAGAGCTTGAGTTGAAATCATAAAAAACCCTAAAAATGAGAATCAACAAGTGGGGTAGCGGATTTTTATCCCCCTGGAATTTTACCCCCTGGGCAAACGTGACGTCACAAACCAGGGGGTAAAATTCCGGCCGCGAACTTTTTAGTTTCGCGACATCAGCTCGATGGATTAAACGCGCAATTAAACATATATTTTCACGGTTGTGAATTTAATCAGAACACATCAAATTATAAAAACCTAGAGTGTACGGCCCGGATTTTTACCCCCCGGAATTTAACCCCCCGGAATTTTACCCCCGGAATTTTACCCCCCGGAATTTTACCCCCTGGCTAGATATAAAAATTAGTGAGAATGATTACTTATCTTCATTCTGTTTTAATTTAATAGTAAACATTTTATTATTAAGTAGCCTATCTTAATATAGGTTATCTTTATCATTACAAACTATAAATAGCACATGGTTTGTGCCTGAAAAAACAAGAAGGTTGTTGTACAACTGAAACTAAATACATTGTTTTTCATACTTATTAACATGGCCTATTACTTATTTACATACTTATTAACCAACAGTTTGCCCCAAAGGCAAATCCCGAACATCAAAATTAAACAGCGAATTTGTTTGACTTAGTTTAGATTACAAAATAAATAAATAAAAATAGGCCACTAAATAATGAAATGTTTACAATTAATTAAAAACAGAAATAAGAAAAGCAATTATTCAATTTCTAAAATCGGCCAGGGGGTAAAATTCCGGGGGTGGGGGGTAAAATTCCGGGGGGGGGTAAAAATCCGGCCCGTACATTTCAGTTGTCTAAACACTAGTTATATGGACAGGGGGTAAAATTCCGGTTTTTATCGCTAATTGAATTAATCACGCTCTGACTATTTTCATTAGACTTCGAAATCCGTGGGGGTAAAATTCCGGCCGCGAACAAACTTTTGGCCACTCAGGTTACTACGTCATAGTGACGTCAGCTTTGCCCAGGGGGTAAAATTCCAGGGGGGTAAAATTCCGGCGACCCCAACAAGTCTGCAGAACATTAAAATGAGACACAGTAAAAATTATAAGAGCTTGAATTGAAATCATAAATACGCCGCAGCAAACCTCCTGACTAAGTGAATTCCCATGTGCTTGATTTGATTTTCAATTTAAAATCTATTTCAATGACATGAGGTTTAACGAGTACCTAGGTTTGCTACTACAAAGAAGGGTAATAAAGTGTGGTTTTTTTTAGTAAAACAAGTTAGTATAAAAGAAATAGATTACTTCAATATACTAAATTATTTGTTTTTTTAAGCCCTTCGAAATGGCCTACAGAGAAATTGGGAAATTGTATGTTTTGAGAGTGAAAAACAAGAAAAACCTATTTTTACCCCATTAAATCCCGTTCCCATGGTCCGACCATGCTGTTGCACGAACTCGTTCAAAAAAATATAGGGCCTAGGTTTACAGGTTTGTACCAAATTTCATCAAAATCGGATCATTTTTGCTCGAGTTATCGTGCTAACGGATACACACATGCTAACGGATTTGAGCATTACATGTTCCGCTCCCATCGGCTTAACTCGGTCTACGCGTCATTAGTTTAGGTGACAGGTTGTGATTATTGATTCTTAATTGATTTTCATTGTATAATGTGTATTTTGGTCGGGCTTATGAAAACGTATTGCCATTAGGCACCTTTATCCGTGAAATTTATGGATGGCTCTCGGCTTATTTTTACTTTACCATATTACAGTTGTATGTTTATGAGGAAGTCTGCTGAGGCCATGACCGCCACTGCCATAGTTGAAATAATAAAACATATTTTTTAAATGTAGGCCTACTCATGTTTACAGCAAGTGTATCTTATTGTAACCTATCAAAATATAAAGAAAAACACTAATTATGTTTCACAAATCAGAGGTGATTGAACAAAGCTCTATAGGCCCCTACTTCACTCTAGCTTTTCATGTACAAATACCGTAACTTACAAATCCATGTTTTTTACACAAAGGAGGTGCCAATCTTGGGTGACTTATGCCTACAATTGATTCATCCTACCGTAAGTTAATTGGCAAATGGCTATTACAAATAAGTTACGATTGATGAAAGCCGCATCTACACTGGCGTTTGTAAAAATGTTCAAAACTTGTTGTTAACAAAAATCAAACATTTGATGTCCAAATCCAGTGAAGTCATTCAAGATTGTCTCCACCCAAGTTCCCCCAACCACTGCTGTTTGTAACAATGTTCAAAACTTGTTGTTAACAAAAATCAAACATTCAGACAGCCCAAGATTGGTAATAAAAATTTAGCATAAGCTTGGCCTCAGGGATTGTCTTACATCCAAACAGATTATTAGGCACTCAGATCTCTAAATTTAACTTATTAGGCTACTGTTGGGCAAAAAGGGCACTTTTCAAACTATATCTCTTGATCAATCACCTGATTGTGTTAAAACAAAAATAATAAACGGTATCAGCATTCTGACACATACTTTCTCCCATAAGTTTGTCAACAACCTTTATCATGTGTAAGCGGGGAGAGTAAATATACGGAAATGGGATTTGTAAGATTTTCTTCAGAATTTAAAGGACTATAACATACTAAATTTTTATCAAAATCGTTCGAGCCAATATTGGGAAAATATGATTTTCCGTTATTTTATGGGGTTTTTATGGGGAAATAACATAATTTACAATAACTTTTGAACAGTAATTTTTACAGAGATGGGATTTGTACCATTTTGTTCAGAATATAAAGGACCATAACATACTAAATTTTTATCAAAATCGTTCCTAAGGCCATTTTTGGGAAAATCTTTTTTTCCGTCATTTTATGGGGTTTTATCGGAAAATACCCATTAAAAATAAAATATCTAAGAAATGAGAAAAACTATCAAAATTGTAAGGATCATAACATACTATGTTAAATAAAAACGGATCACGTTTTAGCTATTGTTATGTAAAAACCACAAAATGTTCAGTAATCCGAACTATTTAATAGTCCAAACTACCCTCGGTCCCAATTAGTTGCGATTAGGCTTAAGTTGGTTCTACTATAGACCTAGTTTTTTTTATAATTACCCTCGACATTTTACGTGGTAACAATAACAAAATTGTAGACCTAAGTTACGTCAAAAAATGTGAGTATAGGCCTAAATAATTTATAAATAAAAAGCTTTTTTAAAACAAAACGTTTTTAAACGCACTAAAAAGTAGAAAATAATTTATAAATATGTTGAGAGTATAAATACT